CCCCCCCCCCCAACAGGGAGGAGGGGGGCTGAGGGCTAGTTGGCAACCTCTCTCCTCCCTGTCCTGTCTCCTGTCTCTGCCAGCGGAGCTGCAGGGGATGGGGCAGCTGCTCCAGGCCTCAGCATGGCCCTGGGTGTGGCGATTAAATGACTGCCCTTGCAATGTTCTCTGAGCCCTTGATATCTGTGTCCCTATCACTCTGGGACTTTGCCTCAACTCCTGATAGGACAGAGAAGAGGGAGGCCCCACTGAAGCTTGGGAGCTGTAGGCACAGGGAAGGTTGGTGGCAGCAGAGGGGCATAGTTGATTAGCATCTGGGAAGACACAGTGTCCTCCCACCCCCTTCAGGGAGCCTGGACTTTCCAGACCCTCTGAGGCCAGACCCTTACATAGCCCTGGCTCCTTCCCACAGCTCTTGAGCCAAACATCTCAGCACATGCCCCAAGGACGCAGACCCAAACCCTGCCAGGCAGGTGGGGGTTGGCCTGCCAACCTCCCCTAGCCTTTGCTGGTCAGTTCAGTGCCCACACTGCTGCTGAGCGAGCTGTGGGAAGCAGAGTTGACATCCCACTGCAGTTTTCCCTCCCACTGTCTTGGGGAAGAAAGTACCTTCAGGTAGGCTAAAAGCTTTAATCCGGGCCCGCCCTCCCCCAACAGCACCACAATGGAGGGCAGAATTCCAAATGTTGAGAAACCAGAGGCAGGGCTACAGGGACCTGCAAGACAGCACCAGAGGGCCCATGCTGCTATGGGGAAATTGAGGCCAGGAGCCTCAGCAGAGATAGGCATCAGGTCTCTGGGAACTGCACAGGCCAGATGAACACTTGTATTTCAGACTGTTCCTTGGTAGTGTTCTACCTGAACTCCTCATGACTTCCTGAACATCCAGGCGGGGCTGGGGAAGGATGTTGGAAACTAGGCCTGGAGCCCTCTCCCTCCAGCCATGGCCTCCTGCCCAGCGCCTGGCCTCATTCAGGCCATGACATACATGAGTGGCCCTAACAATTTCCCCCCACAAGGAAAGGAGAGGACTATGTGGGGACCAGAGTGCCCTGAAAACACCTTTGGGGAAGAGAAGGAAAAGCATAAATTGCAGGGGTCTCCAAAGAGATCACCCGGACCCAGTCCTGTCCCCTGGGAACCTACAGCTGCCTAAGCCCTCCCCTGGGTGGGGGATGAAAAGGAATAAAGAGAACAAGTGGCTGGGTCTGTGCTTCTGTTCTGTCCTGAAGGACCTGTGGGGGGTGGGGGGGACCTTTGGTCCTTGGTCCAGAAATAGCATCTGTGAAGCTGCCAGGTGTGAGGACAGTGCCAGTGGGCAGCACCTTCCTGCAGAAACTGAGTCCAGGTGACTGGGGAGAGAAGCTAAGGGGACAAAGGAACCAGAGCCTCCACGGGCTTGGGCCTACTGCCCCGGGTCAAAGGGAGATGTGGATGGGCCACTGAGAATGGACCTGCAGTCTTTGCACAGGTGCCGACTTATATCCACAGAAGAGCAACTGGCAAACTGGATTGTGAGGTCCCTTAGGTCCACCCTGGCCTCCAGGCGTGTCACCCTCGCCTTGACCACTGTCCTGAACTGTCCAGTCGATGCAGCACTGAGCATGGGTGTTGGTGTCTGAAACAGTCATGTGGAGCTGGACCAAGACTGTTCCTTCAGTGGCCTCTACAGTGGCACCTGCACTGGCCACGGGAGGTTGGGAGGCATGGTCTCGGCTCTGGGGTGATGTCCCCAGGTTTCCAGGGTTGGTGGGATCTGGGGGTTGGGTCCTGTCCAGCGTGCCTAGTTTGCCCGCCCAGGCCACGCCTGCTTGGCCAGCTGGGCCCGGCAGTCTAGCAGGTCATCCCGGAGGCGAGCGATGTCCTGTGCGTGCTGGGCCAGCGTGCGGTTCAGCTGGTCCACATGGCCCCACAGGCCCTCCCTGGGCCTGAGTGATTCGGTGGGCAAGCTGTTCAGGTCTGCAGCCATCCGGCCCAGCTTCCCACATACGCCCTCCACTTGCGCCACCCTCTGGTCAAAGTGGCCCACTGCGAGCTGGAGTTCCTGGGCTGTGTCCTGGCAGCGGCTCAGCCCGCCAGCCACATTGGCCACACCGGCCTTGAGTTGCTCCAGCTCCCCCCGCAGGCTCAGGACCTGCCTGTGGCCAGCCCGAAGCCGTGAGCCTTGGCTGCTGACCTGCTCCTGGATGGCATGGACCTCAGCCTCCACCTTGCGTTCCCGCTCATCCAGGGATGTGTTGGTGGCCAAGAAGGCATCAGAGTACTGGCTGACGGAATCGCTGAGGCCTGTGAGTGACTTGCTCACAGAGTTCAGATTGACCTTGAGCAGGGTGATCTCGCCCTGCAGTGAGCTGCCCGCTGCTTCTGCCAGCTGCCCCTGGACCTCGGCCACAGTGCCATTGAGCTGCTGGAGCAAGGCCGCGTGGCTGGCCACCTGGCGTAGGAGGGCCTCAATCTGGTTCTGCCAGACCTTCACCTCTGCCATGAGATTGTTCAGGATAGCTGAGGTGGTGCTGGGGGTACAGGAGGTCTCCAGCGAGACCAGCCGTTGTTCTAGCACAGCCAGCTCTGTCTGCACCAGGGGCCGTGTGGACCTGCCCGGTGGGGTGCCATCATGGCTTAAGTCCCCAGCCAGGGTCAGCAGGCGCTCCTCCAGCCTCTGCACACGCTCTTCCAGTATGGTCCTGAACCCGCCCACACCCCATCCCCCCTCCTTCATCCCCAGACAGCAGCCCCTCACTCCACTCGCTGTCCCATTGAGGGTCTCCAGGCCTTCAAGAAATCCATCCACACCCCCCTCGAGCATGGCAGCAGAGAGCCGCGTGAGCTCATCCCTGGTGGGGGGGCCATGGCCCCTCTGGGCCTCGGTGACTGCCTGCAGGTTCCTCTCGAGGCTGTCCATGCGGGCACCGATCAAGGCCAGCTGGCTGCAGCAGCTGCCCCCACCAGCCACGCTCAGGCCCTGCAGCCGGGTACCCAGCTGCGAGAGCTCCCGGCGCAGGGCCAGCTCCCGGCCATCCAGGCTCTGGTGCAGCCTCCGGCTGGCCGCCTGACCTTCCTCGCACTGCTGCCGCACCTCCTGCACTCGCAGGTCACACGCACTCTGGACGCCTTGCAGCTTCTGCTCGAAGCCATCCAGCAGGCCCCCCCAGAGTTGATGCAGCCGCTGGTCCACATATTCATCCAGCAGGGCCAGGGAGGTGAGCGGAGATGGGGGGGCATCCCGCAGCCGCTGCAGGTGAGCCTCGTGGCCGAGGGCCAATCCATGTACTTCGTCCAGCAGCTGCACCTTGGTCCGTAGCGTGTTGCTCACCTCTGTCACCTTGCTCAAGATCTCATCCAGGGGAGGTATAAGCGGCCCTCCAGCTCTGTCTCCAGGGTTCACAAACCCCTCCGGGATGACCCCAAAGCCCACGGGGGTAGCAGGAGCTCTGGGGCCACCAGTCATCCTGTTGGGGTCCTCGTGGCTGGCCACCAGGCCACTGAGAGTACCATATGCTTGTGCCAGTCGCTGGACATCACCCTCCAGGCGTTCCAGCCGCTCACCAAATAACCCTGGGCCTTTCCTTCCTGGAAAAAGGAGGAGAGAACCCCAGGGGTGTCACTGGTCTGGCTCTCTCAGCTTGCTCTGTTTCCAAGCCACCTGAGAGATTTTTCTGTTCTAAGCCAACTTTGCTGGGCAGTGCTCCGTTAGCTGCAGGAGGGGGCCTGGGCACTCACCCTTTTGCCCAGCACAAGATGCACCCTCCCTAGCCCTGCCTGAGCTCAGCTAGCTTGGGTCAGTCCCCTTCCCACCTCCACCAAGAAACCCAACCACCTCAGTAGGGTCTCCATGGGCAGACTCACCATAGGGGCTGGGGGCCGCTCTGCTAGAAGGAGGGGGCCTGGGGCCTGGGCCCAGCTGCCCGGGGGGGATCTGGGGCTCCGGGTGGGGTGAGGTGGACTCCTGGTCTGTGAGGTGCTCAGGGCAGCCTTCTCCAGTGAGCCCGGGGCAGCAACGCCAGGAGAGTTCTGTCACCGTCTTGTAGCCAACCTTGTATTTGGGTCTGAGCACCGTGCGGTACCTGGGCCAGGGATGCGGAGAGGGCAGGACTCTGTACCTGTGAGTTGAGGCGCCCGCCTCCTGCTATTCAGGGCCACTCTCAGACACTTGGATATGGTCTAGATGTATTCCCGCCTCCACAACACCCCCAGGGATTTCCTTTTCCTGTGCTTAAGGTGACAGGGCCACGGGGTGGAAGTGGGGCTTGTCAAGGCTCAGAGATGGGTTAAGGGAGGGCACAGAGAGAAGCCTGGCGAGAAGGCAAGCAGGAAGTTAGCCCCAGTGCTCCCAAGACCACTTGGACTTCCTTGAGCTCATACTGCTATCAGAAATTCCACTCTGGCTTTGGTGGTACCTTGAAGAATTCTGACAAACCCCCAGCCCCTCCCCTGTGGGTGGGTGGGTGAGGGGTACTGCCCTGGAGCTGGGGCAGGCAGCCCCTCTCACAGCCTGGGGGCCACTCTGGGCTCCCATCAGCACCCCCACCCTTTCCACTCCTCCCTAGCCTACTCTGGGAACTCAGCTCTGGCTATAGAGGCACCTTTGAGCACAAGGCGAAGGGCCCAGGGTGGAAGGCAGAGCAGGGGCCACTCCCCACCTATTCAGCAGTATACCTGGTCACCCACTAAAGGCACACCTAGCGCATGTGCCCAGGGATCCCGAATAAACAGGTTGGTTTTCAGACTGCGTTTGAACCTCACCAAGTACAGACCTGAGCGTCCCATTTGTGTGCAATACCACACGTCCTCACATGGCCCCATCTGTCCAGCCTGAGCCCCACAGCCCAGCTCCCATCCCCTCACCCCTGGCCTGCCTTCTCCATAATTACCACAGCCCTCCTTGAGTCTGTCCCAGATCCCTTTGGCATCAGCCATTGCCAGTGTGACCCTCTGCTCTCCCCGGTGCCCCCCACCCCCCTCTG